GGGGTGGGGGGAGGGAGACGGCAGGAAAGATGAAATGTTTGGTTTAGGATTATACATAATAGATAGAGAGAGAGAGAGAGAGAGAGAGAGAGAGAGAGAGAGAAAGAGAGAGAAAGAGAGAGAGAGAGAGAGAGGGAGAGAAAGCGACAAAGAAATCTATAGACAAAGAGAGAAAAATAGAGAAAATGAGATAGATAGATAGATAGATAGATAGATAGATAGATAGATAGATAGATAGATAGATAGATAGATAGATAGATAGAGGAAGGGAGTGATAGAGATGGGGGGGGGGCGTGGGAATAATGGAGAGCGAAAGAGAGAATAGATAGATATTCAGACGGACGAGTAGATACGCATGCAGACTGCAAAACAGGAGGAAAGATTAACATAGGTTTAAGCTGGACGTGGGCGTGGGAAAGGGAGCAGAGGGGGTGGTGGTAAGGGTGGAAGGGGGGGGGGAGTTGACGGGATTCGAGGAGAGGGATGTGTTGGTAAGAAAATCAGATGGAAAAAGAGATGGACATTCGTATACAGTCTTCTCTAAAGAGTACTACAAGCCGCACAACGGATACACGTATAGGTGGTTGAACTGTCGTATGGACATTCTCGAGACAGCAACTCTTCTCTTTCTAAAAAGAAAAAAGAATGATGTTCCAGTGAGGTTGCGTGACTGTTTAGCGAAATGTACAGAGTTTCCCTTCACGATGATATACTTTAGACCCTAGATGTCAATTAAGGAAGACGTAGCATTATCCGCTTCCGGCTACCCCAGCTTTCCCAAATCCGGACGACGAAAAGTGCCAGACGCTCGAGCTTTGTTAAGGCTGGCCTACTCCAACTCCAAATCCTACACACCAACCAAGACCTGATTGCGTCATTCAAACTGTAGAGCCCTGACTCTGACGTTGGAAAGGCAGGGTCATTGCGTGAGAAGGTCTCTCTCTTTCTCTCTCTTTTTTTTCTGTATCGGGGTTAACGTTCTCTCTCTCTCTCTCTCTCTCTCTCTCTCTCTCTCTCTCTCTCTCTCTCTCTCTCTACATGTAACCAAGAAGATAAAAAGAACGTGGGTATATTTATCTCCGATAGTGCAGACTGAATTCGTAAAAGTAAAAGTCTTTCTTTGTAGAGTTCTACTCCTCTAAGTAGGGTTCACGTTTCTTTCAAATAAAGGCTGTGTTTTCTTAAACTAGAACAATGTTACGTTACATTTTGAAAGTAGAACCTAAAGAAGGAGATTTAGAGAGAAAGAGAGAAAAGAGATAAAAAATGAATAAACAATCTCTAAAATAAACCCATCTTTGTGGAAATGTCGGAACCTCAGAAATCAAGATTCCTTATATGAAATAGGCCTCTTGCGCAAAGGCAAGCAAATAGTCTGTGTGTGTGGGACCGGGGGGGGGGGGGGGGGGGGGGAAGGATACCGTAATAATGATTACAATATCTGCTGGCCTTATTCTTCACAAAATATTTTTACGCTTTCTGTAATAAATCAGAAAAGACTGCTACCTCTCCATTGTACACTCGTATAATGTGAGGCAAATGAGGAACCGTGTGAAAGAGAGGAGTATTCGATGACTCATCTGGGCCTCGATATCGTGAGCTTTCAGTACCATTCCGGGTTTCCTTCTGTTTGCCAATAAGCGAAATGTGAATCTGAACTGGTATGGTTTAACGGCCCAATCAACACTTTTAGGTTATTTATGAGGCGGGATCTCCGAGTATTACGTCCATCTCCGAAAGAACCGAGCCGAATTAATAGAAAAATCATGTCCTATTTTTTTTTCCTATCTCAGACTGTCTCCTTTTTTTGCCCAGTTTTGGGGTAAATCACTTTGAAAGTATTAGATTCCAGTGGTAAAAAGGGGAGCAAGTAGCCTACTAAATGACATTGCAACTCTACGGAACACGAGTATAAGACTAACCCGGACAATTCGGACAAAAACTCCTAGTTTTGGTTTAAGTAAGGGTTTGAAGGCACTTGCAACACATTTATATCATATAAATGCCAAGAGATAGGTATCACAAAAGCTGTAGGAGAGATAATGGCGATGGATTTTTGATAGGAAAGACGGAGCAAACCACACCAGAGCACCAACAAACCATCCCGACAAAAAACTCTCAAAAGTCAGAACATTGAGTTGATACAAAATAGCAATTAGCCGGCGAAATGTCGACCACTCCGGCTCATTTTAGTCTGTATTGAGAATCTTAGGGTGTCCAAACGGAGGAAGATACTGAGTCACCTCTTCAAACTGGGTCTCGGCCAAGAAGCAGCCCTACGACTGGTTGGCAGGTGCTCTGGTGTGGTTTGTTCCTTCTTTCCTATCAAATATTAATATGGTCCTTATCTCCCCTCCTTCTTTGCTGTTTTTGTTGCTCTCTTGTAACAGCTCTAATCTTATGACCTACTCGTGTTATTCGGAGGAAGAATCTACTTTCTCGTTCAAATGACCTCAGAGCCATAAGTTCATTGTTTGCAAGTGCACCCATCGATCTTTCCTATGACGCAAAGATACAGTATCTAGCACAGAGTAATTATTCTTAGAAAAAAAAATATCCCTACAATCTAAGATATTACCTGACGTCTTCCCGTCCTGTTTTCTCTTTCATCATTTAGTAATACCATATTAAACCCGCAGAGAAAGTTCGCACTGAATATCTAAATCTTTTATTAAACACATGTTTCTCATTATTTTCCGACTAAGAGTCATTATTACTTTTTTCTCAGGCTTAGTGCAAAAGCATACGTAAGTGACATCTATTCGTATTCCGTTCTTTCGCACCTAGACAGCTGTGGGAAAAGACAATACATTTGCAAAAGTACATTTTAAAAAGATATTAAAAAATAGAGACGTAATATAAAAAACGAGAGACATGTTTTTAGAGCTCAGAAAAAGCAATATCTTTCATCTCCAGAAAATCATACAAACGTTTAGAATTGGGTAGCACCTGGTGTTGGTTCCTTCATTATTAGAAATATTTTGTATTATTATCATAGATATTAAATTCGGATTTTCTCCTTGTTATGAAGATGAATTCTCTAACTTTTATCGTAATTAGATTTGATAACCTGCCCCACAAACAGGAGGGTTGGCAATGACAACAACATTGGTAACCTTTATCCATCTCGAAAAGAGAAATTTGTCTCGTTTTTTTTTTTTTTGCGATGGTCGTTGTGTTATAAATTTCATGTGTACTCACACATAATACGATAAGAAAGGACATGATATCTAAGCTTCATAAAAACGTTCTCTCTCTCTCTCTCTCTCTCTCTCTCTCTCTCTCTCTGTCTCTCTGTCTCTCTGTCTCTCTGTCTCTCTGTCTCTCTGTCTCACTCTCTCTAATAAAATAATTGTAATTGGTGAATCTTCAGCAGAACCATAAGTTCCTTTCCTTATCAGGGAAAAGGGTATAGGGTGAAAGCAGCCCCTTGTCTAGAATTTTTCTTACATTTGTATACTAGATGTAAAGGTACTAAGGTTCACAGAAACAGAGCAACACTAAGCACCCAGGCAATACAGGAAGAGGAATGCCACGCAAAAGGTGGATCGAAGGTGTCAAGGAAACTCTGAGAAAACAAAATAATATCAAAACTGAAAGAGCTGCGGAGCTGGCCTACCATAGAAAACTGCATCTCCTCTCGACACTTAACGTCAAAAGAGGACGAAAAAGTAAAAGTAAGTAAAGTAAGAAGGAATGGACAGCCATGATCGCCGATGTCTGTCGCGGATCTGGCACTGGATGATGATGATGATGAAAAAATAAAAAAAAAAAAAAAAAAAAAAAACACCCCCCACCCCCAAAAAAAAAAAAAAAAAAAAAAAAAAAAAAAAAAAACTAATAGAAGACTGTAGGACTAACCTGTGATGTGATAAGTCTGCTGTGAGTTACCAGGCACTTTGATCGAAGAGGGTAGAGAATGGCGATGTAGCGCTCCACAGCTATGGCCGTCAGCAGTAAAATGGAGGCAGTGTAAGTCATGCTCTGAGCGAAGTAGTAGATCTTGCACATAGCCTGGAAGTTGAAGCAAATGGAAATGTCATGGTGTAAATTTAAATGATTTGGTTAACCCTATCCGTACGAAATGACCCCGGGGCTGTATTCTTCATATTTTTAGAATACTTATAGGCTAGTACGAAGATCTCTTTGAACATTTCAGTATTTAATTTCTCAAATAATCATTTTGACAGACAGCTATGCAAAGCGTACGGATCGGATTTACGAGTAAATTGCCTCTTTGGAAAGTAGTGGCACAGAGTTCCCCACGTCGTATGGATACGATAGTAAAACACGACGTACGGATAGGGTTGAGTTGGAGAAACAGAAATATGTATGTGAGAGGGCAGGAGGGGGGGGGGGTTCTTTGTTTGGAATGGAGGGAGGGGGGTCAGGAGGGAAAGTATTTATTTTTTATCAGTTTACAACCTTACTGAACAACATGAGTTTATTTTAAGCAGGGGGAACTCGTTCTCAGAAGAAATTTTAGTATGGTGAAAAACAAAACAACAGTAACAACAACAGCAACAGCAGCAGCAACAATAACAACAACAACACCAACAATAACAACAACAGCAACAACAACACCAAAAAAGACGGGTGATGACAAACAATTGAGAATCCCATTATGTTCTATGGGTATCGCTTAGCCCAGATGAGTGGCAGCGTTGCTGGAAACACCTGATCTTCATCATTGCTATTATCAATGATATTGAGTTGGTTTTTTAAAAAAAATTCTTCTTCTTCTTCTTCTTCTTCTT